TTCGTACTGAAAATTTCCTGCAAGTACCAGGAAGACATTTTCATGGATTCCCAGTCCAAGCATTTGTTTCCACTCACTAAGTTATTACGATATTTCTACCCAAAACAAGAAAAAAAGATTGAGAGAGAAGGAAGTGTGTGTACATGAAAGGGAGCAATTCACAGGCTACAGATGACTGCCATCCTGCTGGCAGGAATCCTTTCTGAGTCTCATAAGCTTTCTCTGCTCCTGTTGGATCCAACTTCCTTTTCTAACATTCTAAACTCGGAAACAAAAGAAAATAATCTTCAATCAACTACATAGTGCCAGGCCCTGGGGTGCTTCAGTAGAAAGTCCAAAGGCTGCAGTGGGCTCTAAAGTATGCCTTAAGTACACTAAATGTCATCCTAGAGAAATAAAACCAAAAAGTACAAAAAGGAGGTAAACCAGCACATTAAATTTGACAAACAGAATAAATGACAAGGAGCTGCAAATAGTAGTGAGTGAAACATATGACATATGATTTAAAAGTTCTGCAACAAATAAAATCCAAACTGAAATAATATAGGCTGAAGCTCCCAAGAAAAAGAATCCAAGCTGAAGTTATTTAATAGGAAAAAATGATCAGAAAACAACCTGTGGTGGAGGTCTGACTATTATGGCTATAGTAACTGTTTTAGTATTGTATACAGATATGATAATGGATTTTTGAGGATAACCTAAATAAAACTTACTGTTCATTTTAAACTATTTACTTTATATCTTTATTTTTATTTACTTTGTTAAAGATGCAAAAAGAATGAGAATTGGCACCAACAAAGTGCATTTTGATGCCATTTTTTCTCCTTTAAAGTGGGGGCAATATTGCTTAAATGGACGCATCACACTAGCGAGAAGGAAGTCAAAAACAGAGTGAAACCCCTACACTTGAAAGCTTTGCCAACTTTTCAGAACAGCTTTGTGTTTCAGCCTTGTCCACTGTCAGTACGCTTGCCTGCTAGCAAAACAGTTGGGAAAATAGGGGAGAAAAATAAAGGCAGGACCATGGAATCATTACTGTATCAACAGAGGAGATGGCAATACCAACTGAAAGATGACCACGACCAGTAAATGACCACCTCCAGACACAATTTTCCTGCCCATTCAACAAAATTAAACCTCTCTTCTAGGCTCGCATAACTCTAAATTTCCACTCTTGAAGGGTTTTTTCTCTAACCTCAACGAATACTCCCTTGTCCTACTTATATCTACTCACAACATGGCTGTAAATACTATTTTCTAGCTTAAAACACTGACCATGTCTTTCTGTTGGCACTTGTCCTTTCTGGTTTTGGTCTTCTATCACATTAAACATAAAACCCACATTAAGGGAACTGAACGATTTTCATTATGCACATTAATCATAGAACCATACAATCATTCAGGTTGGAAAAGACCTTCAAGACCATCAAGTCCAACCATCAACCCTCCTTTACCAAATACACCTCTAGACTACCTCGCCAAGCACCACATCTAAACAACCTTTAAACACATTAAGGGATGGTGACTCAACCACCTCCCTGGGTGGTTCTATCTTCAGATACAGTTCTGTAAGCTTTTAGCTGTAACATCCCCCATATGTATGAGAAATCCTCACTAAGTAGTCACCACAAAACTCCATCCTTTTTATCATCTCCTTTTCTCCTTATCTCATTTTCTCCTTAAAGAATCCTCCTCTTCTATGATTCCTATAAAAAAACTGACAACGTTCTGATCAAAAATGTATTTACTCTCTTGCTATTACACCAGAATACCACCTTATCTATTTATTATCTATCTGGTTTAATTCACATACTGGCTAGGAATGTAAGCTCCTGGGAGAAGCAAGTTTATTCTCTGTTCATCCAACTCAGCATAACAGGGTACCACCCATGAAAAGGAGTTGTACGTGCAACAGCAACATCACTAGCCGTTGCAATAGCTAAGTAATGTTTAGGCTGATCGAAGGACAAGTTAGGATACAATCACTATTCAGAAGGCTATGAATTAAGTAAAAGGCAAGAACAATTTAATCAACAATTTTAGGCTACATTGTATTTACTCTCCATCAGACTTGCTGAAGCCCTGTGTCTTAACTACCCTACTCTAAAAACCAAGATTGTCAGTAACACCCAGACCTCTACAAGAAAGTTTTAACCTCTTCCTCCAACCTGAAACATGACCAAACTCCACAACTCACATTTCGTGGACGGATTGGAATTCGCTGATGATTCATATTCATTCCTGGAATGATCACAGACATTTTTCTAGGACCCTTGAATCCTAACACATTGGTTTCCTGAAAGACAAAGACATTATTTTCAGTAAATGAGATACTTCATGTCAAAGAAAGACAGCAAAACTGAACTTGAATCCACATTTATGTTGGTTTTTAGAGATTCGCTAGCTACAACTGTAGTAGCAGTGTTTTAATCACTGAGAATAGCTTTCCCATTTTCAGAACTGCATTAAAAGACATACACAGTATTTATTACTTGATTTAGAGCACATCTGTTATTGTAATTAAACATTTATAATGAAGTGAGACAAGTACAATTTTCAGGCATAAGTTTTTGCATCTGAGGCAAAAACATGCTAAAATCTTGCTAGTGAACAAGCCTTAAGTATGATAAAAGGCAAATATCTTTGACCTGAGTCTATGTTATCTGTATATCACCATTTAGCCTAAAATGTTCCTGAAGAATGAATGACATTCTTCTTTAGGTACTGTTATTTGTGTTTAAGAGCATACCTAGAATTTTCTCTCAAATCATGCTCTTTTATGCATGATTAAGAACAGATCCAGAAGGCAAAGTATTCAACATCCGTCCGAGCTTCAACCTTAAGACAACCAGATTTTTCTAGAGTACTGCAGGAGACTGCTCCAAGTGGATTGAGTATAAAATGGAAAGGAAAAGTCTTGGCATTCTCAAACTGTCCATTTAATAACGTCAACCAAAATCCAAAGGTCTATTTAAAGTGTCCCGTAACAACAACAGTTTCCAAAGACCAATTAAAAAGCCAGAATCTTTTAGAGGTACTGAATTGATTGATAGAAGTGATGCAGCTTCTAACATGCTAGTGCATTTTGCACACACAGAACAAAGGTCTTTGGAGTTCCAACCTCTATTATTTCACTTCAGAAAATCTAGGAGCACATATGAGAATGTAGGTACTGATTTTATTCACATATAAACTTTATAAACTTCTTGTAGATAAAAGTTCAGAAATCCGAAAAGCTGACTTTATATTATCTGCTGTACTCATCTTAACACCTTGCTGTGTACAATTAGGTAAGGAACTGAAGAATACTATATACAAAGAAAATATCCAGTAATAATTCTGTAAACAGGCTAGTACTGGAATTATTACATCCATTTTTTTCCCAAGTGCCATTAAGATCAACAGCAAAAAAACCCACCAAGATCATGCTCCAGCAGGCTAATGTGCCTTTAAATTTCTGATGCTGTGCCTGTGATAAAAGTAAAAATCCTCCCACTTGACTGGCCATCATTTTGTAAAGAACTCAAATTTTACTCAATATGGAATATGAAACAATGTGATGTGAGGACATTAGCGTAGTTCTAGAGTGTCCACAAGTGCCTCCTCACACTGAAGCCTAGACCAGGGTTCTCCTCAAGACCAGAAGAAGAAAACATCTCTAGAACAGAGCTGGCAAATCACTATTTCCCCCGGAACCACATCCTTACCAACAAGCTGCTACTGAAATAATACCAGCCCCTTCCTGTACACCAAAATGCCTTTGGTTCTGCAAAAAACCAACTCTGCTTCACAGCGTACTTCCAATTCCTTTTTAGTGTCCACCAGATACCAGCTGGGCAGAGGCAGTGCATGCTGTGGCTGGCTCCATGTAAAGGATATGCCGACCGGCCACACACTGAACAACAGGCCAGGTAAGAAGGTCATCAGGATGTTAGTTTGGGTCTCTCTCCCTCTCTTAGTATTGATTTTTATTTTCATTGAACTTGTAAGAACTTATCTTTGAGGCCTCTGCCCTTTGTTTCATCTGGCTGAAATTGGCCAGTTGGTTCCACAGTTAAGTGGGACAGGCTGCCAGGCAGCATGATTTTGTAAGCCCAGTTTCCTCAGTAACCTGGCAATGAAAAAAGAAAGTGGCAAAAAGGGAGAGGCACTACTTACATAACAAATAGCTGCAAGCTCCTGTCTTGTATGAGCCTTTTCCACTAGATCTTGTGCCTTGAGTGGGCTAATTCCATTGTCATAGACAGCAAATCTAGTTCCCATGAGGTTTGACCTAATGTCAGGTTATGGAAAGACAGAGAAAAAAAGAGGCATCAGTAGAAAGTTTTGTCATCTTTTAAAGGTATTTGTACAGCACAGTAAAAACAGACACCTCCTGCCATCTGAATCTTCCTATTGCCAGCTCAGTAAGGAGCTTCCATGAAGCACCCGCAGTGAACCGAGCCTGTAACATTCTGGAAAAGCATCACACCAGAATTCCCTCTCTGAATTACCACGGTGAATGGTGAAGAGAGATTATATCAAGCAGGATGATGAGAGATCATTCTCTCTGAATTGATACCATATAATTGATACCATCTATTCATAACGCCAACTCAACTAAATTGAAAAATCCAATCTCTCTGTAGTTTTCACCTGTAGTTCTCACCTGAGTTTTCCAATGAAACTTTCCCCTTCCCGGGATAAATCAGTTGGGTCAATTGATATGAGGTAATTGGATGTTTTGCTCTTTTTTCGTTTTCTCCCTGCAAGAAGGAATGTCTGAAAATAGAAAACTTTGATCAAGACTGGAGCTTTGTAAGAATGCAGAGGCACTGTTAGTGCTATCCAGACTGTTATCTCTCCATTTCCCACATCAATTCCCCTTTCTGTTTTATGCTGTTATTACTCTCTCCACAATTTTGATCTCTTCCACAAGTGCACGCCCTGAAATCCTATTCCTCCAGTCAGCTCCCTCAGCAGTCTAGATTCAATGCAACTGTCCTTTCTAGTCTTCTTTTTTTCTGCAGCAGCTCAGTCTCCCTGCTCTTCTTTATCCTTGACATTTTTATAGTTTTTAAACTTCATCCTTCATTGTGTTATGGCTTTTAAACCTGCCAATTCCCTTCTTAGTGCCTTGGCCAAATATGAGCTGTCCTCATCTGCATGCTGGCTCTCAGCTTCTGGTTTCTTACTAGAAGCTCCCCCCTACATCAAAAATATTCTGTAGTAGGAGTACAATAACCAAGATACTGTGTCCTGCTTCCAATACCTTTCTGTTGTCATCTCTTTCCAGATGCATGTAATAAGTAGGGAAGAGGCCCCGGTCCATTCCCTTCTTATCTCTAGTGATTCGACATTTGACTGTAACACCACGGGGTGCAGGCCGTAATGCAAAATCCTCCAAGTTCTCTACTTCTCCCAGCTGTGCATCTGCCTGAGGGGATGGACTACAGGAAGCACCTGTTTCCTGCGGGAAGAACCACCATATTAGCAAATTAGTATCAGATCACAGGCTCTGGTATTCCCCAAGAAAAGAAAGGTCTGTTGAAACAGAAGATCTCATGTCCCTAAGATATTTGGGAAAGGAAAGTTAAACAAGAGACAACCTATGTTTCTCTGAAGAAAGTGGCTGAAAACTTTTACCCTGAGGAAAGACTAGCCCTCCAGGGGAGGGGAGAAAAAGTACCCATTAACCAGAGATAAGTGAATTGCTAGGAAGGGGAAAATAGGATGAGACACCGTAAATATCCTAAGTAACCAGCCTCTCTGCTTTTAGAGCTTCAAACACTCTGTGGGAAATAAAGCAGCATGATAAGCTGGACTGATGGATGCTGCAGTAAGGCAGGCTGGGATTTTTGTGACTGAAATGAGCACTGAGATGACGTTGGTTCTGCTACTGCAGAAACAGAGTAAGCTGAAGGTGGAACCATCACAACTAAATGCTGGAAGAAACTTAGAACAATGCGTACAATCAGGATGAAAGTTATGGTCACAAAAGAAACTGGAATTCTAATGGAAATCTGGTACAGGTCATTAAAGTAATTTTTTCTTAGAGGTAGCTGAATCCAGTGAATTGTAGAAGATTCCTCCCTTACTGGGCCTTGGAGATGAGGTTGCTGGTTTATCCCCATTCTCAGGTACAGCCAGGAGGAAGTCTAAGTGAATACAGAATCACACACACACACTTGAAATTCACTGGTGGCTCTGACCGCTCCTCCCCTCCCACATCCCCCACCCCATATCTCCAGCAGCTGGCACCCATAGCCCAGTATCCCAAGTGGCTAACACCCAGACCTCTTGTACTACTCACCCACTACTGTAGCACAACATACACACAGTCACCTCACAACTATACTCGCACAGGTCTTTTGAATAGTATCATGGACTTTTAAGGCTGTCCAGCATCCATGCCCTTGATCTGGTCACTAGCTCAGCCCCTGGGTTTTCTCCTGATGCTGGTCTCTTCCAACTCACTGGCTAGTCCAGCGTATAGTTTGTCAGTATACGTATGTATGTATCTATCTCTCTCACACCCAAACACGCACACATGAGAACACATTCACATAGGAAATAGTTAGAAACTGCATTTTAGAAGATGGTAAGACATGCTACAGTAATCAGGCACAAGGCTTGGACAGACAAGCATACTGTCTTGCAGCTGTTTACATGCATCTGTGCCTTTTACCCCCTTTACTCCCTATTTTCCCATGCTTCTTACTTCCTGATCCACCTTGACCCCTTTCTTTTCCCTTCCCCTAAACACCGCATAAAAAGTTTTGTCCAATCCCAGAATTCTCTGTTCCATCCCAAAATTCTGTTCCCCCTCACATCCCACAATAAATGCCATAAACCTTCAGGCAATGATCCCTCTCAAGTTTACATGGCATTTCAGAGTTTCTCCGAGTCACCTTGGTGGATTTTACACCAGAGACAACGGCCTCATCTGGTTCCTTTGTGGGTCACAGGAGTAGTTGATTCATTGTGTTCCTATCTTCACTGATTATGCTACTTGGGTTCCTCCACCCACCATTGTTCCTTTGATCATTACCAAGTCTTTGTGTTTAACTCAACGGCCCTTCAGTCAGATAACCTGACAATCATGACATTCCTCTGCCTTCAGGGATTAATATGCTAGCTGCTGTAGTTGCAACTAATATATTGTAACCCAGTGCTCAAGGGGTTAATACTAAAATCAAGCATATGCCCAGCCCTTATCAGAAATTGATTTCAAGATACTTACTGCAGAAGATTTCTCGCTGGTTGCAGAACTAGGCCTCTCAGATTCAGGATGCGGTGAATGAGATGCTGGTCTCTTACTGGCTTCTTCCTCTTCTGTGTCCTCCTCATCAAAGTTCAAACTGCCTGAAATTCCTGTCAGAACACAGGATCAAGCAGGTAACCGTTGAAAGAAGGTGTCATGAGTTCGTGGCATCACTAATTCAGATATGACTCTCACATAGCTGTTCGCTCTTTTAAGTAATTTCTGTTGTTTCAACTGTCGATTTTCTTCATGTATTGCTTCCTGAGCCTTGTAATTCAAAGGTCCAGTGACATTTTGCAACTGTCACCATGCAGATGATTAAGCAGCTGTCACGCTTTCATTAATACATATTTTACATGATATTACAAAATATAGCATTGCTTAGTACATGCTGTCATTGAGTTAATTTTTACTATTTTCAGGCAACAAAGCCCTCCATATCTTAAGAACACAAAAAGGAAGTCCAGATCAATATGCTGACACCTATCCTGTAAGTTGGACTCTGTACAGTTTACAGCATCTACTATTTCCCCTTAGTCTTACCCACAGCAAAATGGAGTATGGTAATTTTTCAGCAAAAGCTCCGCCTATTCTTACATCAGTAGCAGCAACTCAGGTCTCATGAATACTACTAATGATTTGATTTTTAAAACAGAAGTGCAGACCGAGTAGTTCCACGACTTACTTATTTAATCTTAACCTAAGCACAGTTATGTAGCGATGACTGTGGGTATATAACTAAAATAACTCTGGATAAAGACATTTATAAAGAGCTTCCGTACACGTCACTGTATGGTGTTTGCTTCCACTTGAAACTGCATAATTTTGTTCTGTGATTCCATTCTTTAATTTGGCTGTGGAATGGAAAAGCACATAAAGCACTACAGAAAATGAACACAGCGTGCTAAGCTGAATTATTTTCTGAGGGCAAATAACAGTGCTCCAACATGGTATTGCATAGAAGGGGCACTGCTGGAAGTTCTTTGTCTCAGATGAAACAGAAAAATGTAGTCTTAACAACCTGTCAGTAAACGTCCCAAAGCACGTCTGGAAAAAGGAAAGGCGTTAACTCTACTACTCTGGCCAATTTCAAAATTCACTGTTTATATTATACCTCCACTCATTTCCCCTGAAGTTTCTGGATATTCTCTCCTGCTTCCTTTCCTAACTCTCATGTAATGTTGCTTTCCATAGGCAAGCAGCTGTTGCATCTGACAACTGAATGGAAGTATTCTTACACATAGTAGTACCTTAATACATAAAGTGTATTGGAAACATTCTGTGAGACAGGCCCTGCAAAACAAAAGCTGTGTACTATATTAAACACCAGCCATTATTTTGCTACAAAGTGCTTAGGCTGCATGCAACAAAAAAGGTTTCCTGTGGTACTGGCAGCAACATAAAATACTTGGCAGACAGAGATGGACACTCCACTGGGAAACTACTGAATGTGATATAACTACTGAATATAAAACTCTAAAACAGTCAACTGTGGCAGCCTCTCACTCAGGAAGAACACCTTTCCTGTTAGTCTGCTGAACAGTCAACTTATGTCATTTACTGGCTATAGTGGGTTCTGCTGTTGTGAAAATATTCAAGCATCATACCAGATACAATATATCTGGAATAAAAATACCCTGAACTTTAGGAAAATGTGGAGTATAGCATTTTGTCACCAACTTGCTTGGAAAGGCTAGAAATTATACAGCACATTGATAAGCTTTTAAAACATAACTAGTATGTTCCAATTAATATCAGAAGGAACTGCAGTTCTGAATTTCTACGTGCTGTAGAATCTACTAGCTCTGCGTTTAAAAGTAATATCCTACAGACACTTGTTTCGCAATTCCTCATATTTGTTAGGTTTTTTTAATGCTATTAAAAAAAAAAAGTAGAAATTAAAAAAAAAATTAAAAAAGTAGAAGAGCCATGAAAAAGACTTTTGCCCATTATTAACTCTTACCTCGTTTCTGTAAGATTTCTTGCAGATCTGACTTGCCTGCTGTGTCTATCAGAGCCTCTCCATCATTTTCCTGATCTGCATTGTCTTCTGTTTTGGAAGATCCAGCAGAGAGAGTTTGGAGCTTGGTCCCCAAATCTTGTGCTTCTGATTTCAGGAAAGCAGCTGGTCCATCAATGCCTGCAGGCCAAAACAAAACAGAACGTTAAAGTCTATTTTTTACAGCGAAAGATGCATCCCAGGATGGTTCTTCTTATCTTCCCTTGCTCAAGCATCCATTTGAAGTACTGACATATATTTGTTCAACTTTTGTCAGAAGTCTTAGGAAGAATCAGGCCTGACTCCAGTACAGACCGCCTATTACTCTAAAATATCAGGCATCAGTTTCTCCATTTATAAATAGATTGTATCTACTTTTTTACAAGGTCTTAAGCAATTAAAACAAGTTGTATGTCATGCATATTGATATACTTCAATTTATTTATGGGTAATTACTCTCTTTTCCTTCATGTTCCTTGTTTGCTCCTGTGCCAATAAGTGAGTGCTCTACAGTGAACACCACAAATCAATTTGAAAAAAATATCTACAGCAAAGGGCAGAAAAAAAAAAAAACCCAACTGTAAATGGATGCTCTCTGTCTTTTTCGTAGAAATTAAATTTCCACATTTAAATATGCAACACAGCTGTGCACTGCACTTTGGTGGAGATGTCTTGATGTTAGGGTCTGGCATAATACTTAATTCATGTTTGTGTAGCACACAATACATAACAGTTCTAGCTTTGGATTTCTTGCTTTCCCACTGTTTTCCTTCTTAAAACTTTACTGCTTTATCAGTCATCAGATTCCTGACATGTTTACTGCTGTTATCACTTAACAGGATTTGTTTGTACTGAGTAAGCTTCAGAACTATGGAAGCTAGTGAGGGAGCAGTTAGTTTTCATTTTTATGTCTTGTAGTTTCAGTACTACTGAGGTTTTCTTAGAAGTTATATCAATCTTTTCTCTCTCTTTTTGACTCAGAAGTATCTTTCAACAGAAGCTTTTTCCCAGATGACTTTAAACACACAAATGCTACCATCCACATCACTCTCCTCCCTACCTTATGATCCTGAAAGACATCTAGAGAACAAGAAAAACATTCAAAAGACAGGGAATAACATATATGTATTTATTGAATATGATATTCAAACCAGGTAACACTGGTTTGTTTGGGTTTTTTAAATTCTACTCTACACTTTAATTCCCTGTTAATATAATGGTGGTATTATAACATTCTGCAATAACATGCATCTCAAAGCCTTAGGATGTTTCCTGTGACTTTCTTGATATGCTGACGGGGATCCTGGCTCTCAAACTACTTCCTGACACTTCCACTGGAATGTAGGGATTTCATTGCTGCTTTTTTTTCTTAAGGAAGTCTTAAGGCTCTCGCTGCTCTATTTCCATTCACTTCTAATGGAATGGTCACTATTTTGCTGTAATGTTTTGAGACCACTGAGTTACTGCCTTTGGCTCCAATATCGCTTTGTGCTTGTGACTTTCTGGACCACTATGGGCTTTTTTTGGTCATGTTTCAGTTGTCTCTCTGAAGCCCACAGAAAATAACAGGCGAGGTCAAAGCCAGCAAGAACCTAATTCAGTATTCGTAAGACTTTTTCTTGTCTACTTTATCATTCAGTCATATGCAATCTTGAGATGCAGTATACCACGATACCATGAAGAAAAGTACAAGCAGTCAGTGCTGGATTATTTCCTTTTCTTTATCCTACAGCTTCAGAAGACTCTCTTACTTTGGATTTGTATCTCCCCACCTTTATAGAAGTTCCTAACCCATTTCTACAGTTCTTCTTAGCCTAACATGAGAGAGAGATTACTCAAAGGCACATGAAGATTCTCAGCTGTCACAAAATTCAAGGTAAGGTTTTTGTTTGTTTTTACAGTTCAGGTTTGCTCAACCATACTGTACTACAATTCTACTTTTGTACATAGAAAGGTATGTAATCAGTCTTGCTTATCACTTGACTCAGGAACTGTCACAGCAATGCAGCTGCCCATCTGTGACATAAACTGCATTCACTGGCATTTTAGAGAACATTGTTGCAATCAGTATGATTACTTACCATGTAAAATAACATCACTGTGGAAAGCAGTGGGAGTTTCTACTAAAGGAGTCTGCTCCTCACACCCTCTGGGCTTTGACCTACGCAGCTTTGCCTCAGGATTTGGCTGCACCATCAAGGGATCAAGACGTTTCTTCCTCTGCTTCTTCTCTAGAAGAGCTCTCTGCGAAATAAACAAAAAGCATAAAACACAGATGAGTAACCATATCCCAAGAGGCAGAAACCATGCCTCAGCCATTAGCAATGACATGTCACTGAGCAGGATCTCCAATAAACTTGAAATACACTTGTAATCTCTTACAAAACTCCTAGACATAGATATCACTGTGTCTTGGATTTGCCTTTGATTCTCCATCAGTGGCTGATGGGTGATATAGACACCTGCTTATTTTCTGAATTTTAACCACTCTCATCCAATCTAAACTGCAGCAATTCTTAATATAAATAGACAAATTCAGGAGTCATTTATAACCCAATATGAAACAGTCAGGACTTGCAGAAGAAAAGTCTTTTGTCTCAAAAGCTATCATCTTATAGGGAGAACTCAAAACAAATAGTTCCCAGAAACCAATGTTGAGAGAAGATTTAGGGGAGAGGGGAATTAAATTTTTTTAATTAGTCATTAAAATATGATTTATTCAGTAAAAGGAAAATTTATCTACCTTGCAAAATTTTTCTATGCAATTCAGGATTGAAAGGAAAGAACGGTAAATCCAAATATTAAAAAAAAAAACCATTCTTTTTCCAAGGTACACATAAATTTGGTGTTTATGATTTCCTAGTAAATGAGAACAGAAAAAACTCCCAGACTTAAATCAAGGCAAATGGGGACATTGCACCATTTTAAAGACAGCCACACTTAATCTTTAAAAGTTAAGGTGACGCATGAAGAAGGAGGAAAAATGCACCACTACGCAAATGATGTGTAAGCCCCTTGCCATAGATGCAGTTTATCTGTGCCTGCTTCTTAGGTACCTGAACACCCCCTGAAAGTTGTTCTTGGTGATAAAAACCCTTTCTCCATCAAATTCTTTTTGGTCTCAAAGGATCCATCAGATGAACAGTAACAACAATTCAATCCGCTTGAGACACAGACATCTTCAGAACCCTTTCATCTCCTGTTATGTTTTTTCTCTTGTTGGTTCTTTCCTCTCCTATTAGGTTTTTTATCTCAAGTGAGGTCAGTTTCTCAGGCAACCTCTCACTGAGGAATTCCAGCACAACTCAGCCCTTGGTCTTCAATTCTTTCTGCCTTTCAAGTATTTATCTAAAAAAACCCCCCAAAAACAACAACAAAAAAATCCAAACCACAAACAAAAAACACCCCACACCAAAAAAACCCAACCCAAACCAAACCAAAAACCAACAAAAAGTCAAACCAAAAAGACCTTTTTTATTTAAACTCATAATTACACTTTGAAGACTGGACTGAAATACAGGTAGTGTTTGTTACTGCAGAATTATTTGCAAGGATTGTCCCGGAGGGCAAAAATTACATAAAATTCCAAAGAGATTATCACATTGGTCTAGAAGAAGAAAAGAAAAATGAGCAGTAGAAGTCAAACCCTTAAAAGGTGCTAATTCCAGATAAAAGTTGTTTTCTAGAGACATACTCATGCCCTCCAGAAGAACTTACATTGGTTTGTGTTGTTTGTTAGTTTTTTAAATTAATGCTGAGGAAAAGTAAAAAATTTAATGATAGTTTATAAATCTCTAACAGTTTAAATAAAATGAGAGAGGAAAAACAGGAATCAAAACATTATTCTCAGAATAAGGATTTGAGAAAAAATTGTTGCCAAGCCTTCTCCACCTGAAAAATCAACAGATAAGAAAAAAAGAAAACAGACACATACTAAAGGCAGTAAGAAAGTACACAGCTACTGCTAGAATGGGAAATTGAATTTGGGATCAATCTATGCGGTGGTTTGGTGTCTGGCAGGGTTTTGG